TTGGCTTTAAATTAATAGCTGGCTCTCGAGTCCGTATTATTGCACGACTTATTTACGCGAAATAATTCAGCCTATCACTGGTCGTGAGTTTCAATGTCACGTGAATGCGTATGGTTTATATTTTATACTACTAGCTGCATACTTGTAAGATTATTATTCATTATATTAATCCGTTTTTATAAAAATACAACTGACATCATGAGTCGTACATAACATAGTGGTTTACGATTAACGACGTAGGTACCTATATAAATGAGATGAGCTTAAAAAGTGGTTTAGTGTCTTTTAGAAATACCCTAAAAAAAAAAAATCTAAAAAAAATCATCAGCTTGACCGTTCGAATGATGTGTATAATAATGGCCTAAGAGCCTTCTCATGATTTCATGAGGCTATATATTATATACAAACTACTGACAGTTATTTAAATTTGTATACAAAATAAAAATGCATTTAAAAACATAATTATTATTTATTTGTTCATAAAAATTTGTAAAATTGGCGCGTTGTTAGATATAATTATTTAAATTTTTATTATTTAAAATGTTTATTTATTTGCACATGTTGTACTTATTATGGCATTTTAATTTTGTATACAAATTTAAATAACTGTCGGAAGTAGTTTGTTTTAATAATATATAATTATAATTTTTAARCAGATTAATTAACAGCTAGTAAGCCCGAATAAAATTAAGAATTTCAGCGTTTATCGAGTWCAAACAGTAAAACTTAGCATTAACTAGTAAAGCCTAGATTTACCTATAGTGATCGCGCCATCGCGGGCATTTACGGTAACATACATATAGTTTGTGAGAGTTTCTGTACTTAAACCAAATTTATTTTACCACAAAACGTATATAACATAATMATAATATATGTTATTACTCTGTGCTAGTATTACTACTAATGGGTCATCAACAAACTATATCGGCGGTTTTTAAACTTTTGGTGATCACGAACCCCTTACCAATTTTCTTTCGAATACCATTTTTTTTTTTTCATATTGTCAAAACCAATGTTTAAATATTTATTTTGAGTATAAGTACATATCAAAATATACACATTCATAATTATTTTGATTATACTACATTAATGTTTCATAAAAACGTAAAATTAGATAGAGCCGACACGGTGTCTTAACCTAACCCGAACACGAGTGTCGCGTACAACCACAGGGAGCCGCGGATCACATGTTTCAGAACCGTTGAACTCTAATAAAGCTCTCATACATTTTGAGAAAAATTTAAGTACGCGATTAAGTCTCAACTCAACTCAAAAAAAAAAAAAATCGTTACGCCTAATAGCAAGATTGTGATATACAATATAGTCTGACTTGTCCATTGTACCGGGCGCGCCAAGCCCAACAAATCCACGGTTTGGTACCTACCTACCGCCCACCCGTACCTATTATTATGATAATCACTAGACGTCCATGTAATTGTCACACCTATCTATACATTGGTAGATTAGCGAATTTTTTCGAATGTAACGAGTGCGCGTACACCATACAGCCGTGGGAACTGACATTTACAGTGACTGYTGCAGCAATTACGCTGCCGGTGGCAATGATTGGTGAAAACCTCATCGGTGAACTCTTGAAGGTAGAGATATATCGTCATCGGTCTGACATTATTGCGCCGCAGACAACCAACACGTTGCTGCTGTAGATTGATACCTACCCGCGCAGAGGGCAGACCCGTAATGCGATATACTCGACAAACGTCTACTCGATATTATATTATACGCGAAATAATACATATATTGTTCTCTCGTCAATATGACGACATGACGTATATATAGATGTGGCACCTAACCTRTACACCATATATGCTGCACAATACAGATTTATTTTAAGTCAATAATACATAGGTACTAAGGTACCTGATAAAATGATAAGGCAATAACAATATTGTTTTTCCACRTTTATTATACCCAAAAGCTCTGCCTGGGCAAATACCATAATTCAGTATCGAGTCCATAAAGACTATGATCGATTAGTTCGGAAGAAAAAAATAAAATTACACGATGTGACTTRCAGGTCACACAAACTACCTGTTACTTACATGATATTAACCTGAATTACTTATTGGTCAAATAATTGTTAACGTCCCTCAAACCAATACTCGTGTGTCACAAAAACGCTTTTTTTCTGGACAGCACATTATTATACACTCATCGTCAAAATTATTGTCTATATTCTGACACCGATCAATCGAATACAACGTTGACTTCAGGTTCAGGTAACTCAATAAATGATTTTGAWTTTTCTACGATGACTTAATCAGGTTAAAATCGTCGACTTAATTCTAACGACACGCCTATTAAATGTTTAATGATATTTAGATCAGTACTATATTTTGTTGTTATGAATTTTATTTTTTGTGTTTGTAATAATTGAAATTTTTACTGTTGTGAGCCACTGTTGTATACACTACCTATACATTATGCGTATACTTATGAGTTATGAGTAATGATAAAAAATAATATATTTATATTTAAACCATTTTATAACTGTTGAAGATACAATAATCAAAAAAACACCGATCGAATGAAATTACATGAATCTGATACGATTATCCCGACTTATGTTTTTTAATAYAATGCCAAATTTTAGTTCAAATCTGAAAATTTAAGAGAATATATTGATATTTTATTAAATACCTTAGTCCTGAAATTTATTGTTTCAATATTTTGAAATATTGTATACATATTATTAACTTAGAGCATGATGACTTGTAGCATATTTGCATATTTGTTATATATACAGTAAAAAAAAAATAGCCGGGTACGAAATAAATACGTTTCATGATCTCACAAAGCTAGTTAGTTATTTTGCTTATAAATTTATATTTTTTGTTTTTAGGACTTTGATTTTATAGTTTTTTAACATATTTTAACTTAATTAATGATTTTATCAATATCTTCTACACCGACGTTTTTATTTTTAAATAATACAAGAAAGAGATAAATTTATTATTTTTTTCAAATAATAGGATTTTTGATTGGCCCCAACRCACGTTTTTCCTAGAAGCCTGATAATTTCATAAATTTAATAAGTACAGAAAATAAATAAAAATATTAGAATATTTTTATATTGTTTTAAAAATTCATATTTTAGATATATTTTTTATTTTGGATATTCAAGTGCATATTTGGTGATTTTTGGCTAGACGTCCTCTACCTCGCATAAATTATATACCTGACATATCGCAATAACGGAAAATACTATTGCATATTTTATATACAATTTAAATAATATAAATAACAGTATTTAACACAGGTAATATTATTATTTTATTGCATTTATATTATGTACAAAAATTATTCCATGTTGTGTTTGTAATTTATTTTATTAAAATAATATAACGGTTAAGACTCAATTATGTCCGTAGCTGGTAKGATTTTTTTTTATAAATTATCAAAATGAATAAAATTATCTCAGATCCAACGACGTGTAATGTTRTATTATTGTATACCTATACGTAAGAGTATTTAACGAGATGCATAAAAGCTATCCAGACGTATAATGTATATTACGACATTCTGTATATTATGAGTTACAGCGACACGACTTCGATTTCCACACGAGACTTAGTGTCGTGGGTGTTCTATTTAATGGCATTATTGTTACTTTTTTGTTTGATTTTATACGGGAAAGCGATGATGATAAAATATTAAATTTTTAAGTGCTCTTTCTCTTACCACGTTTTTGAATATCTGCGCAAATACTTTCATCCTATATCGATGGAAACTGATATATTGTAACTACGCGGCAAACTTACCCGTCCAATCAGTAGCACTGCACTCCAACATGACATCTTAAATCACTTAGCTTGCAGTTTTTATGTACATATGTATTTATCCAATCGTATTATAATAATTGCATGATTGATGAACTGCTTTTTAATGCGATAATTTACATTTTTATGTAATAAAAAAAAAACATATTTCTTATACTTGTACCCGCAGTTCATGATCTGGTCTACAAAATGTCAAAAACTTATTTCTGTATCTCTAAGTTTAGATGATTATTGTCAGGACAATTTTAAATGATAGAAAAAAAAAACGCGACACCTACATGGTCGGATTGGTCTTTTTTTTTAAATATAATCTTATACGATATCCTCCTATTTCGTTTACGTCTGATTAGGAACAGTTTGGTCTCTTAGATTTTCACCAAAAATATAAATTATTATCACAAGCTTATTACTGCCATCGCGTATGCGTATTATTATTTCGATTTATTTRATAATTTTCATCAAAAAAATATTATATTTTAATGACGCGTTTTGATATATTATGCAAACGAAAAAAATTGACTCGTGGCGGAAACGATCGTACAGGAGGTCACCGKACCTAAAATGTTGGACAAATATAGGTACTTAGATTTTTATTGCATTATCGGTACTTTGCGCGCGTTCCTGGCCCAAAACTTGGCACGGCGCACTCTGTATAGTCATAATATTTCCACATAGACAATAATATTTACAATTTTATAGGGCCGTACACGACGYACACTCGAAATATTATACAAGCTGCACCTAAGTATAATATAAATATATAACTAATTTGTAGATATTATACATGCGATATGTASTTGTGACACACATATTATTAACATTTTAAGCGCGCGCGCAACATGGACGAGCGGCGCGCACGTTGTCAATACGATATAATGTGATTATTATTATTATTATTATTACTATTAAATTGTCGCGAAAACTGGAAAACGGTAGAACCGTTGACCTATACCATGGCGTTCGTTATGGAGTCTCCGCTCGTTTTTCGTTTCGTCCGCTGCCACCGCGGCCGCCGGACCGGTTACCCCGAAGGTGGGGCGGTTCCCCCCGACGACGACGACGACGGCCGCCCGACCGGGGGAAGGGGCCACTGCTGGCACCGTCTCGTCGGCCGGTACCGCCGCGGCCTCCTCTGCCGCCGCGTGTGTGCGTGTGAGCGCGCCCCGCGAGTGTGTGCACGTTCGACTGTCTGCATACGCTGCGGTCGCCGTGATATAGACGTACCTACGCGACGCTCTCGACCGCTGGTACGACGATAATATCATACCGCGCGCGGCTTCCATTTATCGCATTATATACGTGTGCGTCGCGCCTCTCGTCAGTCCGTCTCGCGTCGTACAGAGCGTCCTCTGCTCAACCATCGCGCGGTCTCAGCGAACCGTGTGCGCGGCGCGTGTGTGTGTCGTCGGTGTGTGTRTGGTCGTCGCGTGTGTGCGTGTGTGCGTATATACCGCGTACGTGTGTCGGCCGGTGTGTGTGTGTGAGCGGCCACGCGACCGTGTGCGTGTGTGCGTGAGCGCGCGGCGCGTATAATTTTGCGGACACCACGGGTCAGTGTGCGCCGGTGCGTGTCAATCACATTCGCGAATCGCGCGTGTATTCCGTTTTTTTTTCTTTCGATTTTCGCCGATCTCTTTCGTCCGAGTTTTTCTTCCGTCGTCACTTCCGTTTCGAATTTCTTTCCGACGCGTTCGAAATTTTTCCACATACTCTAATCGACCCATCCGTTCGACATCCGTTCCGAATTATATTACGCGAAAAAGTAAAACACAATAATAATATTATAATAAGCGCACGAACGCAAAATATTCTACACGCCATAATAATAATAATAATAATAATAATAATAACAACAATAATAATAATCGTATGATAGTATTACGATCGTCGTCGTCGTCTTCGTCGACGATGCGTCTGTCACGACGTGCAGATATTTTGATATCGTATTTTAGTTTGTTGACGGACATTCTTCCTTGTGGATAAATCGCGACTAAAGCCCACCACCCGCTGGACCCGAACTATAAAGGTTCGTAATCTCATTTGTGGAAGGTTATAATAAATCAATTATACGTAAATTATGTATATAAATATGTATTTATATGTATAATTAATAACAATACATAGCCTATAGGTATCGATATACTTGCACACGCAAACAATAATAATATTATAATATACATCAATACGCGTTGACCTTTCGTCGACATCTGTTATTATTATTATTATACATTTTCGTTCTGTATTAAAACAATAATAATAATAATAATAATGATAAATTAAAAAATTAATTTCCCTTGACACAAAACCGTGATCGATGGTGACAAAAAGATATTTGATGGTCAGACTTAAGATTTTGTTAATTTAAATTACCGTAATGTTCTTGAGTTCACGTCCGAATGCTGAATGATTTTATAAATTGTAGAATTCATATAATTAATATATTAAATCGTTGAGGCAAATATTAATAAAGTACTCATCGTCACGGTTAATTAATTTTTATACATTTTGTTTCATCTCTTTTTACGCTGCARTTCTAAGGACGAAATTATTCGTTCATTAAGTTTTACTAATAACATTAAACTTTCATTAAAAATAATAGCGTGAAATATATACACACAGTTTTAATTAAATTGCTTTGAAATCATTATTTGTTATATTATTTCATCATTATACTAACAAATATTGGCATTATATATATATATATATATATGTGTGTCTCCTATATATGTAGATATTTACTTTAAATTTAAAATTTCAATGATTATTATTAAATATAAACGTACATAGACATTCATAGAAAAGATGAATGGACTGGCTGGATGTAGCGGGTATTGAAGACTCTGGGATTGGAGAGAGAGGAGTGGAGATCTATTTTCTAACTATGACAAGGCTAAGCCTTTAGAAAAGTTGAAGAAGAAACGTACATATTACATTTTTTATACAAATTTGAAGTACCTAGGTACTTATATTTTATACTAAATATTTCTATACATATACAATGATATGATAAGAGTAAACTCCATTTAAACGCATTGTAAACGTAGATATCAAAATGTAATTCAAAACTATTATAAATATTTTTAAAACAAAAAATGAACACAAATCATGTCATTCAATAATAATTTATTTTCAAGGTGGTCTAGCATTGATATCATACTGAGTATCATAATATATATATATATCATAATTCATAATGCATTTAATACTCACGAACACATTTAGTATCAAAACTAAGTCACCTGTATATGACGTATATTAAAGAACATATAAAAATTAGCATCAAACTTATTTTTAGATCTTAAATATTTTTTAATTTTTATTTCAAGGTAGGTATTTATTAATTTATTATATKGTTTTGGCACTATTTATTTCATAAATAATATGCGACTCATGAACGCTATTGTTTTATTAACATTCAAGTAACTTGTTTTGATATGATTACATTGAAACTTTCAAGTAAATTATACGATGCTGGTAATAAAATATATTTGTTTTTGTAACACTTATTATTATTGTTACTTGTAAGTTGTAGACCATTCATTTAAAATTTCTTTCACCTTTCACATTTCTGAATAGGTAGGTACACAAATCTATTTACGATTTCAAAGAAAATACCTGAGTATAGACTTATTATACATACATAATTCATATAAATATATATATTGGAAGACTGATCAGCTCCAAGGTCTATGCATAGTAAATAAATAATAATAACAATAATAGTAGTAGTAATATCACAGTAATAGTTGTAAACCGCGAATAGTAGATATTATGTTATGTAGTAATATAGTATTAAATGGTAGGTTAACCACGTTTGGACCAGTTGGACAAAATCATGTAGAACAATAATTACAACCAGGTTTGTTCAAATATTTGTACAAGAATATTGTCGCTTCTACAAAATGTTTTAATTATTCGATAATTATTTTTTTCMTTGTAATCAAATTGTATTGTTAYTCTGACTGCAATATTACTGTGTTGGTGCCGCAGAAAACAATTAGTTACTCATTTAAAAAAGTTTTCATCTATCGAAATACCTCAATATCTAAAAATTTGGCTTCGGAATATGAAATAAAACATGCATAAAAGTAATAAAAAATGATAAAAATATAACTTTGTACAAAATTATTTTTTTGCAATGACATCAAATTTAATTTAAAAAGAATAATATTTTCGAAAAAGAATAGACTTATAAATATATTGAAGTGTTTATTAGGTAAATACTAAATGGATCATTACGAGGGAATCAAATCTCCTATACATCCTCCTATTTTGTCTATACGCTCCTGTATTWTWTGTGTATAAATATATAATACAATGTTCATAAAATACATACCGTACGACTATATTATTAGGTAGTATTTTATTGAGATTTGTTTACTCGTGTTTTTAAAATTGATACTGTAATATCACACACACACACCTATTGATATTAAATTCAGTGAGTCGTAAAAGCCCCTACAATATATGTGCATTTTAAATAAATTGTTTTTACAAAGGGACCACTGTGAATAACGTATATTATAGGTGATTGATGCAGTGCATCGTACCACTTTATGAGCATGCGCYAAGCACGTTATCCTCGGGAGGGGGGAGGGGGCACTAGGTGCATACACCGGAATTGATTTAGCGAGACTTGCTCAATACTCGTTCCACCGAAATGCTGTCACACGCTGTATCTACCTAAGTACCTATACACATACAACCTATAAACGCTAAAGAAATACGTCGTGAATGCGACTGCGACGTTCGTTGTCGTAAGATTGATGACCAACGGGAAACGTCTTGGTAATCGCACTTATACCTGAAGCTTTTGTCGCATCATCTCGACAGAGGTGACCGCGGTTGCTGACCTACCGTGGGCGTTTATAAAACTCGGACATAAATAATGAGCAAATTAGCATTCTGCTAGTTAGCAGATAAAACAAAATTATAGCACAATAAGGCGAATTCGTTTTTCGACTTGAGATGCCCTCAATGAATACGCTGCCAAACAAATTCATCTATCATACCAAAACGTACGAAACGTGTTTTAAAAATTTAAGTGGAGTTGTACGTCATAACTCATAACTTAACCGACTTATTTACGTCCCATGACGAGACGCACGGTATTACCTATATATACCTACCTAAATAATTGAATGGGATAGTTATTCTCATCATATACGTGGATGTCAATATATCCTTATCGATTTAAGTCCAGAGGTATTCCAAAATACACTAAACAATTCAGTATTCTACAGCGACGAAAAAATATTTATGATGTGTTGGGTAGGTATATCATATTTGCGTGCGGAACGTTTTCGTTTATTCCATACATTATTATTAGCTATTATACTTTGTATTGTGTTTGATCGTTTAGAATTTACATGTATTATGGTAGGTACGTATAAGTTTCCACCAATATCGTGGTTAGAAATATTAGAACATTTTTTCACATTGAGGTTAATATACGCTCAATTCATAGAATGATATATAAGTCGAAAATATTGTACTTACGCAAACGCAGCGCCATATACGTTCTACGCAGTAGTTTATGACGTCGTCGTAATAATAATATTATAACGTGTACCTATTATATATTACATAAAATAAAGCCAAACCTTGATATAAGTACCTATATGTTATATATATCATAGTCGGTGTGTATATAAATAATATGATTGATTTCTTCGCGTGGGTATATAYGCGACCACCGATCGATCAGACTACTTTGGAGCTGATCAGAGAGATTCCACTGTTACTATAATATATTATTCGATCGAGATGACCACAAAAACAATTCGTATCGAACTATAGTAGGTATACGCACTAGAAATTATATTATTATAATATAATATGTGGGTAACTAAAACGTGTGTTATTTGTGATAATAGTAGTATACCTACCTACACATAATATACAATTGTTGCCGTGTCTAAGTACTTGCAGTGTACGTATAATATATATAATATGTATATATATAATATGTATATATATAGGCACGCGTGCGGAGGAATGAAAATCAACATCTATATAGTTTTTGCGCTCCGGAGCCTGTGGAATTTTTCTAGTATACTATCAGTTTTGTTTATACCACTGCAGGAAGTAAACCAATAAGGAACTTCA